AATTCCTTTCAAATCTAAACCATACATGTTAGCCAAAATTAATTCTATTAGTAAATGATCATTGCCAAATTCAAAATGCCAAAATAGCTTTTCATAATAGCTGAAATTAATTTCAATAGCGGCCAAAATTGTATCCAAAATTATTTGAATTCCTTGATTCAATAGCCAAAATTCTGGGTAGTTTTTTTAAAATAATTAATATAGAGAATATGGAAAGCCAGAATGTGGCCAAAATATTTGGCAAATGCAAAAACAATTTTGGCTAACATGCATGTATGATCTAAACTAAGATCATGGGTCATAAAATAATGAAAAAATGAAAAAATGAAGTTTTTTTCAGAGTAATTATGATTGACAATCAATCTAATATGAGAATTTCCAGTTACAGTCAAACCTTGTCATAATAATAATCATATTACTAAATTTTGATCCCTGAAATTCTGGTAATACCAATGTTCACTTGGTCTGGTTTTGTTGCAGCACTCCACATATAATAATAATAAATATTTTATGTTATATATAGTGATTAGTGTACCTTAATATAGTAATGATCCAATTGCTATTCATTTGGGAGCAATTTTCATATTTTACGGCAAAAAAACAATCAAGTAATCATCAAGAGAACATTTCAAGACATGATAATGACTGGCAAAAGCTTAGCCCAGAAAAGCAAGCTTATGAATGGTTTGGATCAGTTATAGAAGTAGTTAAATCACCTAATAATAATAGTAACTCCATAATTGTAGTTGGAGCACCAGGGTATAGTAATAAGAAACAAACAGTTGGTAAAATATATGGATTTGAAATGATTAATACTACCAACAAAATTATTAAATCTTTTGATAAATTTGATTGAGTGGGACTAGTGAATTCCAGGCATTTGGAAGGTAATTAGTCCAAACATATATATATTAAAAAATAAATATGAGGAGAAGAATAACAATAATGATTCTTTTTTTATAGTTTAATAATTTCAAGCAATTTCTTAAATAATGGAAAGAATTACATCCTTATCACTTCAAAATCAGAGGTACATTAAATGATCATTGAATGATGTTTTATTAATATTTATTTAAGTTGATAGCAAATTAATCAAAATATATTTACAATATACAATAATCGTATAATGGACTGTTTCCTGGTTACAAGATATGGCAAGCAGGTGCAGTGAGATTATTAGATTTGGATTATATTAAACAAGGAGCTTTACTATATAATCTGATGAAGTAATGAAAATCGGAAATGGGTTATTATTGATAAAATATGGGCCAGAAAGTTCATCACATCTTGGTAGTTCAGTATATTGGGATGAAATTGATAGGTTGTTATTTGTTTCAGAGCCATTTACATTTTAGGGTAATTAAAAATATTCAAGTTTGTTAATATTTGGAAAATAAAAAAGTTAATGTACAATTTTTTCTGATCAAATTATAGAATCAGGAAGAGTTTATAAATATGCTATAAGTCCATCATTATTTTACAATTATAATAATGTATCATCACCATCACCACCATTATCATCATTATTACATAGTGAGAGTATTGAAGTCATTCCTAAGGAATGCATAAATGGAAACAACAACACAAGATTTGGAAGTAAAATAATAAAAAATGATTTTAATGGGGATGGTAAAAAGGATTTATTGATTGCTGCCAAGCATTCCAGTACTTCCTCAAGGTATTTATAATTATAATGATATTGATTATTATTAATTTAAAAAAATCAATTTATTTAGCTTTTAATTAATTAATTTTTTAGATTGGGAGGTAGTGTTATGATAAATTTGAGCTAATCTTAACTTTTATAATTAGAATTTATTATTTTATTAAAAATTTAATTTATTTAAATTATTATTATTCCCTCCTTTATTTATTTTAGAATATGTAGGTTATTTTTTTAATAAAATAAAAGAATAAGTCATTATTAATGATTTAATAGTGTTGTTCAAATGTACTATATAACAGATAAATTATAAATCTTTAAAGCCGTTGCGACCACCATAAGATCACATTATTAAAATCCAATAAGAAATGACAGTTAAATTAACAAATAAACAAATAAACTGTTACCTTATTTTTTGATTCACCTTGAATATCTTTTGCTGGGTCAACGTTACCATTTGGTTTTACACCAAAATGCCAACAAAATATTTCCAAATCCTTTTCACCTAAAAGTCTTTTAATTTCCAATTCTTCCCATACAGCAAATGCCCCTTCTAAAAATGTATGCGAATATACAAATAAATATTTTTTATTATTATGAAAAAATGAATAGCCGTAACTATATAGAAATATTAGAATTGCATGTTTATAATAAATTTAATGGAAGAGGGTATTTGTTTTAAGATGATAATGACATAAGAATCTGTTAAACAATCTTCCACCTTGACCATACGCAATGGCAAAACTTACATCAAACATCCTCAGTTCAGGAATCCAATTAAGAATTTTGTGATGACTGGTGTAATTGCGGAGACAGTTATAAAAGTTCGTCCAAATCCAAAACTGAAAAAATTACCATAGTTGATTGCTTGTTTGTGATTTGCATCCTCGATTTGTAATTAAAAGCACAATAAAAATTAATAAAGCACTTATGGTCTATAAAATAAATTTTCACACATACTGACCTTTACTGACGAAGAGTAAGTATAACAAACTTTGCCCACAACAATGGTCAAAAAGAGTTCAGTTGATAATCAAGTCCCTTTAGCCATGCACCTACAAAACATACTTCTTAGGCTTTATCAACCTATGAAATATGCTTTTTCGGATTCTCACCACCTACAAAACATGTATTGCACACGTTTTTTCGGCTTCTTGGCACCGGCCCTGTGCACCTCAAAACATAAATATTTCTCAGATTCTCACCACCTACCAAAACACAATAAGTGTTTCTCGGTTTCTCGGCTTCTTGGCAGATCTAGATCTAAGGGAATATTAAAAATATTTCCTTCGACTTCGATCAGGGAAACTTGTATCATCAAAGATAAGAGAAAAGAGTAACGCGAAAATCACGAGTGATGAAATGATATGGTCTGGTCAATAATAATAAAACATGTATATTTACAAGTGAAAACGCTGATGTCAAATTTGCTAGATTTTATCAAATGTGAGAGTATCCAATGAAGCAGATAAATAGCCACATCAAATTAAAAGTTGTTAAATTTACTGAGATAATATTAAGAATTATAACTTTTGATAATAGAGTTACCACTTCAGACACCAATTCTTTTGATATTCCGATGAAGGATTGGAAATCTTTTACGATAAAAATATTTAGAAACGAAGAGATTTTTTTGGGAAGGTGATTTTGTAAAAGAAAATATGGGAACGTCATTGCGGTCTTTGACAAAAATTACTAAATTTATATACTAATACTTTATTTTCAAACACGTTTGATATCACTAAAGATTGATAACATAATTTGCAAATATAGAATTATTTTAAATTTATATTTTCTACAACATATGTTTTAATTGTTTTGGCCTCCATTATTATATCTATTACTTAAACCGATATATCGCTTGACAATGTACAGTCAAACTTTGCCACAACGGACATAAGGAAATTTCATTTAAAATCCGTTATGTCAAAATTACTAATAACGGATTTTATGTTTTTATATTAGATATGTGAATATAAATCAAAAAATTTTAAAATCTGTTATAACGCAACTTTATAACCGCTGTGCAAGTTTGACGATAGTTAATTTTTTTATTTTTTTTTGTTTAAAAAAGAAAGAAATTTTTCTGCTCGCTTTTCAATATAATGACATACAATTAGTTTACCGCCAAGGGTTATAGACCGTAAATGTTTTATGAAATTTATACAGTCATTTCAAACCGTGTATTTTTCAAATGTTTATTGAAAATAAATAACAAATGCAAAATTTACAAAAAAATACAATTATTAAATTAATTAAAATCAACATAATCGATATAATAATTATTTGAATTTTGAATGAATACTATCTCTTATATTATAAAATCTAGAGGTTCTTTGAGGTGGAATAGGGAATATATGAGCAAGGTTGGTTGAACTAACTCTATTTGTATTATTATTTCTACCACCACCATGATTATTATGATTAGCATTATTATGATTAGCATTATTATGATTAGCATTATTATTATTATTATTATTATTATTATTATTATTATTATTATTATTATTATTATTATTATTATTAAAGGAATCGGTAGTGTTTCTTTTAGAATATCCAAATTTATTATAATCTATTTTTAATACGTAAGAAGATATTCTATTTAATTCAATCACAGGTGGTTTATTCGGAAGTTTTTTGGTCGATCCAAGAGAATTTCCATTATAGTCAATTCCACTGCCAACAACAGTGCTATCATTGAAATGAGCATTGTTTTTATTATTAGCGGTACCATCACTGCCACCATTACCAATATTTAACCAATGATTATTGTCGTCTAAATGTGATGGGATGGTTCTGGGTTGTATCATTAATCCATCTTCATTTAGTTTTCTCAGTTTCTTATAATATAAATATTTACGATATAGTAAAATTCCTATTATAAGGAATACCAGCACAACTATTGAAACCATTATTGCTACGGCTATTGGACTTATTCGGGATATGGGATCTTGTTCTTTAACATGATTATCATCATCATTTTTTTTGTCATTACTATTATCACTATTTACAGTTATTGGTTTTGGTGATGGTGATGGTGGTGGTGGTAGAGGTGTTGTTTGAATTGACGTTATCGTTTGTATTGGTGTTAATGTTGGCGTTGGCGTTGGCGTTGATGTTTTTCGAGGTGTTCGAGCAGCTTTGGTTGTTTTATTTGCTTCATCAGATTTGGTAATGCCGGCATCTCTTTTTTTATTTTTCATTAAATTATCACTTCGTCCAAGATTTACCATATTTATATCATTATTCTAATATATATATATATATATATTGAAATGGGTAATAATTAATGGAGAAAAGGTGAATTATAATGACGAATAATAATTTTCTTGGTGAACGTGGAGAAAAATGAAACAACGGTTGGATGACGTTTTGATAATAAATGAATTAATTGGACTGATGATGTAACAACCAAAAGAAATGTTGTAAAGAAAGAAAGTAAGTTTGTTAAAAAAAAGACAAAAACCTCCTAATAACGGTAAAAAAAATTTTTTTTTTTATCATAAAAAATGCGAATTCTAATTTTATTTATAAAAAATTTTTGTGGAATTATTAATTAATTAACTAACCAAAATAATAATATAAAATATACAAATTTGTATTTATAAATAATTTATATTGTGATATTGCGTGGTGTATGGTGCAGATCATCTAAAAGACATAAAAAAAAATGGCCAATCTTTAAAATGCCAAGGCTCAATAACTATATTTGGAAGCGAGAAAAAACTTTCTCACATTCGCAATCTTTAAAACCTAATACTAAGCGGAAAATGTAATAGAAAATTTTTTATCAATAAAATTGCACGATTTTACTATCAAAAAATTTGAATTTGGCCAATGAGATTTACCGGTGATACTTTCTATTTATATTTAAGAAAGATTTTACTACGTATAGATCGCGTGACCAGAATAAATCAATCTAAATTATCTATTTATTGTACGTAGCAAATTAGATTAAACGAATTTGCTTCACTTGCCACGCTGACTTCCCATTTAAACAAACTCAATTCCTCCTATATTATTCAAGGTATGTACGTACGCCCCCTTGGCTTCCCAAAATATTCTTGTTTCTAGCAATATTGATTGGCTAATTTTGGCGCGCTGAACAAGTATTGAGTCATGTGATTTTATAATATTATGACGTAAGTATATCATTGCTTATTTTAGATGATAATTAGCCATGTGGTGCAGCATTTGACACCAATTTGTAGGTGCACTTATCAAAACAAATAAGCTCGTCACTCTTTTGAGAAATATCAAACTCTACCTGCATATTAATATGCGTGCAACCCACCTAATGAATTAAATAAATGAACACAAACACTATTCGTGTCCTGTTTTCAATTTTTTTTCTAAAAGAAAAACTTTTCCGAGAAAAAGTTCTTCTAACTCATCATCTCTTTCCTATAAACGTATTATAGAAAAATAAAAAATCATGCAAGTTTACAAAACATAAAGAGATCAATCAACAAATAGAAACATATGTGTCGATTTTTATACTCATCATTAAAAATCAGTCCATATGAATTTTCAACTCACCTCGGTACCATTGCACCCTCCTGATTCCATCGCCAATGCATTACATCGAATAATTCATCTGACACATGGCCGAGACTTGGAATGTTCTATTACAATAATCATATAATATAGCGCACATATAAGCATATTAAAAACAAAATAAATTCTCTTGCTCTTTGGAAGAAAATTATTTACAGATCCTATTAAGTAAATATAAATACAAGAAATCAATCAAAGTTTAGATATAGTCTCCAGGCACATAATTATATTTAAATATTTCCTAAAGTAAGAATCCTTGCAATATGAAAAATAAACCTATAAATCCCCTATGTTTCCTAATATTGCCTCCATCTATTGAGTAAATAATTGTTATTTAATCCGTAAAAGTTGTAATTGTGTTTTAATAAATATTGTTGGATACTATAAATTAAAAAATAACGAGCCAAAAAAATAATAAATATATATGTGTGTAAAAATTATTGAATAAAGTCTTCTTTGTGTTGATTACAATTATAATTTATTAGAAATAGTTTTACAAAATACATATGGTATTTTTATAAATAAATTTTAATCTCCGAATAGGTATCATTACGCAAATATATTGGTAATAGGAAAACAATAGTAGTATCGGGGAGATATTATTAACAAACTAAAAAGACCCCCCAAGTGCAGACCCCCAATAATAAATGCACACTCTCATCCATTCCAAGTTCATGATTAGAGATAAATGCGCGCACGCACACACGCACGCACACACGCACGCACTCTGCACTGCACGAAAAATAGTTAAAGAATATAAAAAAATAATTATTATATATAATTAACAAAAAAATAATAACGATATTATATAATTAACAAAAAGATATTATTAACAAACCAAAAAGATTAAAAATAATTAAATATATGAAAAAATAATAGTGATAATTAACAAACTAAAAAGATAAAAAAAAGCTATACTAGTAAAATAACTGATTAAATTATCGGAATTGGAAGAGTCAAGAGAAAGTCTGATAGAAAAATTTCCGTAATGATAAAAAGTTGATCGACGTAATAACAAATAATCAAATAAATTCTATTTGAATAGGTTGTTGTTTTGGGAGGATCCTCAAAATGCATTGCTTAAAGAACATCCAGAAAATTGGTTTAATGTAAATTTGTGGGGATCCCTCAGAGACCTCATCATTAGAAATGTACCTGGATTTGACAATATAAGGTATATCACCTATCTTCTTGTAGTCACTATTTTACAACATCTGTATTAATATACTGTAAAGACTAGTGCTGTAATCCAAAAAAGGAAAAAGTATGGTTGCAAAAGTGGTTGCAAAGGTAATTGCAATCACTTTTTATATGCTGTAATACAATTACTGCCATCATAATTTATGGCACTAGTCTTTAATATACTGTAATTATTATTAGATCAGAAACATGTAGCAAATCCTCTTCAAAACGTAAAAACTTGTTTCAAAAATTAAACCAAAAGAAAAAATTTGTTAGAAGAATAGATGGCATAATATCTAAAAAAAAATGGTGAATATGGTGCTGATGAAGCTGCCAATGGATGGTATGATGAAACTGAAACTAAATATTTGAAAAACTGATAAAGGTACTTAAAGAAATGTTCACAGACCTATCAAAAAAAATAGACAATAAATTTGATCTACAAATACATGGAAATTTACATCTAGGTAAGTTAATTGTTTCATTGGGATTGCATACCTTAAGCTACTTATTTATTTTATCATATCATTAATCATCCATTTGATGTAATCATCTACAGGAAGGTACCAACAGATGGTCAGAATGTACTCACCTTGTGGGTATGTTATGATTAAAGACTAGTGCTGTAAATTATGATGATGGTAGTAATTGTATTACAGCATATAAAAAGTGGTTGCAATTACCTTTGCAACCATACTTTTTCCTTTTTTGGAATACAGCACTAGTCTTTAGTTATGATCATGAGAAAAGAAAAGATTCAAGAGGTTCCAGAATCAATAGAAGAAATCAATAAGCTTTTATTATTAATAGCAATGAATATTCAGGAAATGGTAATATTCACTATTTCTTTTGGCTTGCTATTTATTATAGGTTAACATTTATTTATTTATTATTTTTTTTTGCAATTTCATGTGTCTAGTTGATTGTGAAAAAGTTGAACAATATAATTAGCACAAAAGTGGATTCAAAAGATAAGTTCCTGGAAGAGATTGAGGAGATTTATAATGATCAAACCACCAAAAGAGTTTTTGGTGGAACATTCACCACACCAATTAACAATTGTGCATTGTTATTATTTGAAAGATAATTGATATTTGTCTGCCTGTTAAGAAAACTATTTTAAAAGAGTCTTTATTGAGGAGTTGTGTGATCTTTAAAAAATTGAAATTGTAATTGAATTGATTGTAAATGCTAAAACTGAATAAGTTATATTGAAAAATAATATGTGAATAATAAAAATTGCTAGTATCTTGAATGTATATAAATATGAAACACTGTACATTATCTCACACCACTACATTGTGGAATAATGAGCAGGTTGAAGAATTCCTTTCAAATCTAAACCATACATGTTAGCCAAAATTAATTCTATTAGTAAATGATCATTGCCAAATTCAAAAT